AAAATATGATAGAAATAAATATTGCTGTTACGTCACAGAGCAAGCATCTCAGGGTCGTTCTCTGTCTCTCCTTGCCCTTACTCCCCGCGTGTCAGAAAACTGTTGCTCCCAAAGTACAGGATATATTGGAATCAAGATCATGCAAAGAGCGGTAGGGCAGTGACGGAGAAAATTTGCTTGCGCTCCCCGTGCCGAGCCGTCATTTTGTTCTCATTTCAAGGACTCTGCAAATGTCATTAAACTTGAAAGACTGACTTTCAGCTATGCACAGGCACGAAGCCTACTCGCAAGCTTCGACTCTCTGCCCAACAGGTTCAGATAAGCAGGCTCTATTATTTTCACAAAAAAAAGAGTAAGGGAACAATTTACTGTGTTTAACTTTTTGCTAGTGCTTCTCAACTAGCTAACTTACCAGCCCACGTTTTTCCCTCTTGTCGTCTTGTATTTTAGCAAGGGAAAATGCCTACAACCTATTGTAAAATTTATTTATAAATGTATAAGATTTATAAATGTGGTCTAAATTTCAAGTCAATTTAATAAATAAACCACATTAAGGGATTTTTCTGGCTGTTTCTGGCTACTCAAGCAAATTTTTCTACTGAAGATTTTATAATTTATTCCTGTGACTTTAAACTTTCCTTTTTAGGACCCTGTGAAACTCATTTCACAAATGAATTTTCAAAATTTCTGCTTTGTAGATTTTTTTTTAAATAGGTAGTAAGATTTTTTGAACTGTTTTCTGTGAAAACAATTTATCTAATTCTTTCATCTAATTTCAATGAAGGGAAATCTATCCCATTAACATCTATACACTAATCGTGGTACTTGTTTACTATCTTCTTGACAATTAAGCTGCTCACTGTACAAATTAAAATATACATTTAATTTTATCTGCAGGACTCTGTTGGCTACTTTGCAATCTCCATACATGAATATTCCTGAAGGCAAACTAAATCAACATATGTACTAGCCCAGGCCCTTTGCAAAACATATTATGCACTTAAGATAAATTCTGTAAATCATCATCCTAGCCACACAATTAAATACTATAAGCTTGCTTAACCCTCAGCTCAGACTTGCTTAATCTCCAGAAGAAAGCAATGCCAGATGGCCAAGAACAACTGCTAAGAATCACAGACGACCACAGAGAAATACCTGGAGTTCTTAGTGATCTTGTACAGAAACACCTTCTGTTTCCATCTCCTGGTAGGTCCCTCTTTGATCAACTTGCTTTGCAGAATGCATCATTCCGCATTAACTAATAGATTTGTAGCTAATTTTCAAAAAGCTGTTATTGCCACGAATCTAATTCGCCACTACTTAATTTTCATTAGGCAGCAACAATACATCACGTCTTTCTCAAAGCTGTCCTGACAGGAATATGCTTGATAGAGAAAACCAGAGACAACCTATTAACCACTGCACATCTCCATTATCTTCAAGCAGACATTTAGATGGTCTCCAAACACGTATGGGCCGGGGAAGTACATCTGGCTGCCACGTGATGGACTGAATATTTCCCAGGCTTTTCTTGCTGTCAAGAAGCAAATAATGGAGGAAGATTCTTATTCTACAGAAGAACATCCTTCTTTGGGCCAAGGTACAGGAACATCCCTGAGGTACAGGAACATCCCTGAGGATCTCTCACGATGAAGGCAGATGGCCGTCATGAGACATCCAAGGCCACCACCATTTCTCACGTGGAAGGGGAACTACCCATGAAGTTCTAAGAAACACCAATATCCTGCAGCGCAGCAGAGCTTCGCCCAAGCCAAGGCGCCTGCACCTGCAGGCTTGAAACAGTGCAGCTTTGTGGCACGCGAGCTGCTCGGGCAGGCTGCCCAGGGTCTGCTGCGTTCGCCACACAGCTGCTGGCCTGGCACCTGCTTAAAGGCTCCCTGAAACGCAGCTTCGCTACTGCGGCCTCCAGTTGCCTAAATTGACATCTACATAAAAACCGCTGTTTCTTGAGATGCACTTCAGGGGGCCAGCAGTCTCATTCCGCTGCAGGCTGAGGGAGATTTTGTGCTCAAAAATGGGTGTCTCTCTCTTTCTAAAGGAAAACCACCTTGCATTATTAAAGATGTCCGTCACTGCTCAAGAGCAGGCCGCGAGGCCGTGGTGTTGGACTCGGCTATGTTAACAAAACATCCAAAGGAAGTGACGTTCAAACTGCAGAGGGGGCCACCAGCAGGAGCAAGGCCTGACAGTGATGTGGGAGCCAGGCTTTGAGTGCTTTTTCCTGGGAAATCAGGACTGTGGAGAATTGGAGAACGTGGGAATGGGAGCAAAGGGCTGACAGGGGAGATGGGATTCAAATAACAGGGAGGGCTTCAGGGCCCAGTGGGGGTGCAAGTACGGACAAATCCGTATGGAGAAGCCAGTGCTTCTGGCTCTCCGTATGGAGAAGCCAGCAGAAGACAACAAGGTGGGAGAGGAGGACGCTGGCCAGAGCCCGGTGTGAGCAAGGGGCAGATACAGACCTCAGCTAAGAGCCAGGGCCTGTCAGACGGCCACGGTGGAATTGTGTAGGCTCCAGGTAGGAAGCCAGAGGTGGCAAACCACAGACCATGTGTCTATAGCTTGCTTCACTCTAGACAGCATTTCCATGAAGAAAAGGAGGTGACAGTTTTATTCAACTGAGTCCTCCGAGACACAAGACAAGAAAACGTCCCATTAAAATCAATAAGTAAATAAAATAAAATATCCAACAAGACTGCAGTCCTCTGAAAACACTGGAAAGCTGCTCTCAAGACTAGTCTGTAAGACTGAACTTAAGTCAGCTAACATAAAAAACAGCAGAACTTCAGAACAATCTAGACAAGGCTAGTGGTTCAAATTTCTGTTGCATGCTACTTTAAAAGCATTTGACATCTTACATAGAGCTTTTCTCTATAAAGCATCAGATTCACCATTCAACCATTCACATTTTGCATAGCCTGGCTCATACAAAAAGCACTCCTAGAATATCAGAGATGCAGCGACCAAGATTAACAGGAAAAGTAGTAAAAACACAGGAAGCAAAGGCATATTGAGAAGAGGGAAAAGGCGATCCTGAGGTTAGAGTGAGAGCTGAGAGAGTACAGGGATACTAGTGACCTTGCCCACGTGGTAGTAGGTAAGTCCTACCACAAGAAGCAATGTGCTTGTCCAAAGTCTAGTAGAAGCTGAGTGACAAGAATACAGAGATGAGCACAGAGAGGAGGCTCGAAGTACTTTGTGCAAGTTCAAGAAAAGGGAAAATATATATGGAAAGCCTGCTTGCACACAGTTCAGAAAAATGCTGCTTGGCAAGGGGACAAAAAGGAAAAAAAAGATATCAAGCCTAAAGGCAAATGGTAAGGTATTACTAATGGTTGATCACAGAGAACATAAGCAATGATATCAAGCAAGCTATTGCAAAAGTAATCACAACATATGGCATAAGAAAAATAGAAATGCTTTCAAGGTATTGCTTGAAAAATGCAATACAGCTTTTGGGTCATATAGCCAGCCTGATATAAAGCTAATGTCCTAGATATATTCCTGAAATAGGTAAGGAAACTTGGAAACTTTCTGTTATGGTTAGTGTACAGAAAACAAAGCAAAATTAAACTAAAATCAATCAAACAAACAAACAAACAAAAGATGAACCAAGGAACTTGGACGAGCTGGTTCTCAGAGGCCAGTCCCACCTTTCTGTTTAACAGATTTCCCCCTTACTACTGAGGCAAGGCCCCCATGCCCTCTGTGGCTGCAGCATTTCAGTGTCTCACCGCTGAAGCTCACGGATGCCTGCTCACTCTGGTCCAACCCCAGCCCAAATCTCCCATTACCTCTTGCTCTTAAAGGTTATTTCAGTAAGTGGGTCATGACAAACAGAGAGGCTCTTAGTAAGCCTCCTAATTTGAACGCTGATATCTCCACAGCAAAGGTAGCTCTAGGGACTGGGCTATGAACGCCCTTCCTTCTTCCAAAATAAGTCCAGGTAATTTCAAATTTCATTTGCTTCTGAAGAGTACTCAGTATTTCGGGATTACGACCTTGAATCATTTTTTCCATATGCCCAAGCACTAAAACCATGAAGAAAGCAGTGGCCCTTGATTTCAGTTAAGGAAATTGATTTGATACTGGGCTGTATTTACAAAAAAAAAAAAAAAAATTACTATTTCAGTTAGTCTTTCAATTAGTTTCTGATTTTCCCAGCCTTACTGTTCATTCAAGGATGCCCAGGTGATGGTTGACTTCCACCTTATTTCCCCTCCTTCTCCATGGCATTACTTTGCTCAAAGTATTCACTATGCTTTAATCTGCTTGTTGAGGCACTTCTATAACTCCTTTGCCACTTGGCTGATGGAGGAAAATCAATTTTGAGCGCTCAGAAGAAAGCCCTGCTTTCCAACTTTACATGCCAGTTTGGACAACTGCAGCTGAAACTGAATACAGATTAATTCAGCATTCCAATCATTCCCCATTTAGGCTGACACCTTAGGAGGCTGGAGCATGCATGAGATATATATATATATATATATTTTTTTTTTGTAAATTAAGAAGTGACAACAAATTTCTTCAAATGAAAAAGCAGTTTTTCAAATGAAGTTTACAAAGAAATGGAATTTACGGCAGCCTTGAGACTGTATTCTAAATGTATATTAAACTGCAGTTTAATGAAACATGAGGTATTGCAACAGAATGTAAAAATCCTGCTACAACAGGATTTTAATGCTAAAACAGTTTTACCCTTTCTTCAGTAACCCAGCTCAAAAGACATATTAAAACCATGTTCTTTAAGAATTGGTAGGCACAGTACAATAACTCTGTGTTAATCAAGATAATAGAAAGCAAGTATGTTTTCCCATTATACACAGGTTTAACACTGGAAACATTCCTTACGTGTAGGAGAGAGAGAGGGAGAGAAGCGAGGGGGAGCTGACTGTAGTTCTTTAAAGATGCACTGTACACATAATGCAGCAGCACAGGATACGCTGACAAATGAAGGCAACTAAAAAGACAGTACTCACCCAAAATATTAAATTGAAAAGGAACATCATGTATTTCAAACAACACAGGCAGCCTCTTGCCATGTTGCACTTCTTAAATTCTAAAAGGAAAACAAAGGATAGATCCAGGTAAAAGACCACATATTTGCTGCCTTTGGGTGCACTGTATTTGTCACTTTCTTTGCCAGTCCCAACGCCGGTCCCAGTTCCGACCCCAGTGTGGCTCTGTGTGCGGGATCCAGCTGTACCATAGAAAGCTCCAGCAGTAAAACCTCGACCAAATTGCTTCCCTGAGGTAGAAGGTTTAGCAAAGTCAGAGTCTTTGCTATCCAAAGATGGACTCCGGTGAATTGAAGAATCCTCACTACTTGACTTCTCCATGATCTCTCTTTTCAGTGTTGTCAGATTTAACGCTTAGCATCTCTCAACATTAAATGCAGTGCCTCGCAAACTCCATAGTACTACAAAAGTTGCTCGTGTTCTGCTTCTCTTTTCCCGTGCATACAAATCAGACAACCACTGCAATGTTCATTGCCATATTCCCTGCATGCTTGCTGCTTTCTCTCATTTTTTACCCCACAGCAGGCTGCACTCTATCTCTAGTGTGGCTTCATACATTACTACCTCACGCAGGAGCACACTCATGATGGAGCTCGATGAATCAGTTCTGCAGAACTTCGGGTTTATTCAAAGGAGCCATAAGCTCGCTCTGTCCTTCGCCCAGCGTCCCTGCTCTAGCGGCAGCAGCTGGTCCTCGCATCCATTTCCAAAAGGCTCCTGCAGCGCACCTGGGAGGCTTGCCTCTACCCAAGCACCTTCCTCGCTCTCAGCTCGCCTCCCTAGCTCGCGCTCTGCCTGCTCCTTTTGTTTTTTTTCCCCTCTTTTTTGGGTTGTTTTTTTTTTTCCTCCACCGGTTTGCAGCAGCTCATTCAGCACTCAGCCATTGGCGCGCGCGGCGTTGCACTGCCGTTGACGTGGAATCATCAGCAACTGCAACCACTGGGCATTTCTCACAGAAATCCCTGACCTAACTATCGAGTAATAAATCCGCCCGCCCGGCCCCCCCTTCCCTCTGCTTCCCATGCAGCCAATGAGGAGCGGCCCTCTCCCCCCAGGGCACACCTCCGTGACATAATATCTTTAATAGGATTAAAATTACTCTTGACTATACAAGTGCACAACAGAAAAGCGCTTTAAATGTCAAGCACTGTTGGGCTGCTGCTGAGAAGGAGCCGGGAGGGAACGATACCCGCCTTCCACGGAATAAAACCCCGCAATCGGGTAGATTCGCCGGCGCTCACCTCTCGCTCATGACTCGCACTGTAACGACGTGCACCGGCGGGGTGGGGTTTTTTTTTTTCCCCTCACGGAAGCAAATGTCATGGGACCAGGAACCGGGAAGGGGCTAATGCAGCGGCCAGGCGCGTGTGTCGCTTGAACGGAGCGCGGCTGGGACGTAATTAAGCAGGACCCGGGAAGCGGAGCTGCTCTCCCCCAATAACCGAACGGTTCTGAAAGCACCTGAAACGTCAGGGCACCTAAACCCTCCGCTACCCAACACGCGATTTAAGCAGCACGTTAACCAGCCGCCTGCCGGGGCTCGAACAGAGCGGGCCCCGGTGCGCACGTGTGGATGAGGCAGGGCCGGGAGCAAGGGATGGAAATCCTGGGCCTTGGGCGCGGGGGGGTTCAGGTCAGGCTTATGTAATCGCAAGACAGTAGAAAAGGAGTGCAAAGAGAGCGCGCTGATGGCACAGGATGATGAAACGGCTTATAATTTGGGCTATTCTTTTGTTTGGGTAAATAAAGAATAGATACTGGGAGGCGATTCTCAGGGAAGCTCCCAGAAAAAGAAAAAATTAGGCAGGATTTTACTGTGAGGGCAAATTATGTGAGAAAATTACTGTGAGGGTGCCAGAGCCCTGGCACAGGCTGCCCAGGGAGGCTGTGGAGTCTCCTTCTCTTGAGGTCTTGCGAACCCGCCTGGATGCCGCCCTGTGCCCCGTGCACTGGGTGTCCCTGCTGGAGCAGGGGGGTTGGACTGGATGATCCCTAGAGGTCCCTTCCAACCTCAACCCTTCTGTGAGTGTGTGTGTGACTCTGTAATTTCAACCGGCCTTTTAACATACATGTTATAATGCACCAATTAATTATTTTATACCTCTGAGAAAAGACAGTATATCATATCTGCAATCTCAGACATCTATGGCTGGCAACCTCCTAAAATACTATTTTTATATAACATCATCAGAACCTACACCCTAAAGTTATGCTGCATCTTTACTGATCAGCTTTTTCTGTGACAAAAAAACAGATTTTTTTTCTGTGACAAAAAAAAAAACAGATAAGAATCACAAATTCTTGTGACAAGATTCCTCCACCATTAACTGCTCTATGCCATGAAATAACCCCGTATGTACATGTAACTTTTATCTCATCTCTTCTGCTCCTCCTGAGAGCAGTATTTAAACCACATGCCTAAGCACACGTCAAACATGTTCATCCACTTTGTTCTTCAAGATTCATTCCAGAACTACTTGCATGAAGCCTCTCCATCATGTGACTGCAATATAAGAGCACAGCAGTACAGTGCAGCAGAAATGGACATGCACAAAACACCCATGAGGAAGGAGGGAAAGAGGGAGGGAAGGAGGGATAAAGAAGTTAGCAGTGCCACCACAGTGGCATTTCTGGTGGTACATGTCTGTGATGCATCTACCACCTTCACAGCAAGCAGCCATCAAGGGCCAATATGCTCACAAGAAAACATGGGAGGGACTTGTAGGTACCAGCTTGAACCATCTGAACCTGGGGGATGAGCAGCGTTTTAGGCCTGCTCGAGAACGGCTTCAGCAACCTCAAGCAGCTCTTCTTTCTGCAAGTTCAACTGCTGCCCGAGTAAAGCTGTGCCGTTTCACCTCTGCTTTAAATAGATCTTTCACAGGTTTTTTTACTTGTCACACAGAATGAAGCCTTCAGCCAAAAAGAAGAAAAAATTACAAGTATTTTAAAGCATTTTTGTTTCTCCTGCACCCACTGGCTTGCCAATGCAGGACTACTTTTGTTTAACAGGTGTACAATAATTTCAAGTTGTCATAAAATTACGCTGACATAGACTAGAAAGCAAAGGGTTCAGTGGAAGTTTTCCATTCGTGGTTTAAAACAACCAAAAAAGGAATTCTCCATCCTAAGATTTTTTTCTTTTTTTTTAACAAGTTTTCATTATTGGGTCACATTCAAATTTTATATTTTTGCATTCAAATATTACAAAATATTTGCTTTCTTTACTATTATTTGAATGGCCTTTCATTAAAATCCAACTGCAACATGTTCAAAATGAGGTTTTTACTCAGTTGATCACCAAAAGAAACACGTATGGCCCATACCCACAACAGGCAGCAGCACAAACAGCTCCTGACCCGCCTGCCCTTCTGCCAAGTACAAAGGACACCAGTGACTTTCTTAGGGTTAGGCCTGTGCCACCAGGGAGATCTTCCAAGCTTCAGGAACACTCTGCCCCTTGAGTCAGAGGCTGCAGAGCTGCAGTACAGATTAGATGCCCCTTCCTTCTACTGGAACTTGTAAGAACCCTTTGGCAGAACCTAAATGTTGGGCATTTGTAAAGGGAAACTCAGCAGAGGACAGAATGCCTTCCACTTCACTGCAGATCTCACCTCTACTGAGGGAACTGAGCATGAAACCCCTTCAAAAGCCCATTCTAAACCTCATAAATATTTCCTTACTGAATCACTGAATTTTCTTGTTGAGATTTCCCCCACATAGGGAAGTTCGATGCCACACAAAAGTGCCTGGAAAAAAACAAACCAAACCAAGACAACTTCAGCCCATGGCATCAACATGTCTCACCCAAGTATTAAAGGGAAGAATTTAGAGTATTTTTGCTTACTAGGTAGGCAAAGGAACATGAATGACGGAAGGAAGGAAAAGGAAGGGTATTAATAACAAGGCATGAACAACAATGCCAGCTGGTTCTCCAACTGATACTCATTTACACAGTTCCCACCTCAGCATAGAACACCTCAGTCCTCAAATCAGAGATCTCAGTGATTCCAATTTTTATTGTAAATCACCAAGTATGTAGCATTTTATTTTTATCCTCCCAATCCTTAGTTTTATCCTCCCTGGAGGTCAGTGTCAAGCACAAAATACAGTGTTCCTGCAACCCCTGCACTTCGTTCGGGTCTCTTCACATGTTTTGTGAACACAAAATTGTGGTGTGAAGCCCTGCTGCAAACCGGAGCAGGCAACTGGCAAAACTTACATGCATACTCATAACTATGTATTTATGGAGATATAATACAGGAAAAAAAACATATTTAAGTTGCATTAATACATATTTTTCTCTTTGTAAAAGCGCTGATCCACTTACAAGACAGTCCCCTAAAAGGTCATGCTGATTCACTGACAGAGATAAGAATAGAAGCAAATGCTGAAGTCTCAGCAAAAATATCTTATGCTGGTATTATGGCCCCCATGATTCCAGCCTTGAAAATACTAAACTTTAGGAGTTTTTAAAAAAAGGGAAATTATAACCATAGCTGCTGTGATATGTGAACATTTTACAGACTGCTATATATATATTACCTTGCAATTGCAGTTATAGGAAAACACTACAGTTGCCATTTTATACAGGAAACTTGAGGACCAAGACATTTGCTGGGGATGAATTAGAAATACCTGGCAGAGGAACAAACTGAGTCTGGACCTCCCTTGGCTCTGGGTAGACCACTAACCATTGCATCACTTTCAAAACAGATATTTCTAGAAATTATGAATTTTAAGAGTCCTGTTGCATGACCTCAGAACAATAATGGACCCTACAGAGAGATATACCACCATATACACCATCAAACATTCCAGGGATACGGTATGTAAATTGAATTTTTTCTTGTAAAGGATATTGACCAAGACTTCCGTTATATAAGTCCTGCCTAGAGTGCTCCAAGGGGACAAAAGAAACTAGGCAGCTGAACAGAAACTCGATGACTGTGTCTTTGCAGTCAGTTCAAATCACTGCTCAGAATCCTGGAATGCCACAGAAAAGAGATATATATAAAACGAGTCAGAAAGAACAGCCTGTGACTGAGGACTGTCTCTCTATGAGAGACCAGAGCTGAGCAGAGGGGCAGGATCCCCTCCCTTGACGGGCTGGCAACATCCTCCTGATGCAGCCAGGATCCCATCGGCCTCCTTGGCCACAAGGGCACTGCTGACTCATGGCTAACTTGGTGTCAACCAGAACTCCCAGGTCCCTCTCTGCGGAGCTGCTCTCCAGCAGGTCAGCCCCTAATCTGTCTTGGTGCCTGGGGTTATTCCTGCCCATTTGCAGGACCTTGCACTTGTCCTTGTTGAACCTCACACGGCTTCTCTCCAAATCTCCAGCCTGTCCAGATCCCTCTGCCGTGTCAGCCACTCCACTCAGCTTGGTATCACCTACTCTAGCAGTTCTGACTTCACCAAGAGGAACAACCTTGTCTTGAAATTGTTACTGGAGAGAAAATGAATTCATCCGTTTCCTTAAGCATAAAGGCACTTATGCTCACAAATGCTCACACTTGATTTATCCAAGACATCAAACTATCCTTGTTCACCCAAGGCGCAGAAGACAAATCTTCTTGATTTGACTAATCTTATCTAGGCCTAATCCTTCACTTACCTAGTTTATACTTACAATTAGCCTTCTAGAATATGGCCTCACTGAATGCAAGTGCAGAGGTCTGGCTAGAAGTCACAGATGACCATGACCGTAA